CGGGGTCGGTGACTGCCAGCTGCCCTGGGGGCCCTGGGCGAAACCGGGTAGGAGCCTGGTTCGCAAACCTTACTGAGCACGCGGGGCAGCTGATCAACTGGAAGCTGCCCAGGCTCCGACCCGGCGTTCCGATGCCCTGGCTCTGGAGGGGGCCCCAGGAATCTGCATATTAAGCAAACATCCCGATATACCGACACACAGTTCTCGCGGAGACCCACCCGGAGGACCAAGGAGGGTTCCCCTCTGGCGCGCCTCGCGTCTCCCAGGCAACGGGCCCGCGGCGCGCTGCGATGACGTCAGGGACGGACGGTGGCCGAGAAGCTGTGCAGAGCCGTCAGCCGGCCTAGAAGGGCTGCCCTGGCCTTTGGCTGTGTGCCGCGCCCCAGAGGACATTGGTTGGGCGCCTGCTGTGTGCGCCGGACGGTGTGGGGACCCAGCGACCAGGAGGGCCGGCGAAATCCAAGGTCGCGTCCAAGGAGCCGTGGGCGCGGGCGGCGCGGGTGGCGCGGGGACGGAGCACCTGGCAAGAGGGGGGATGGCTTGTGCAAAGGCCCCGCGGCACACCCGTTCCCCGCGCAGAGTTGCTGCGGGCGAGACTGCGAGCGCGGGGACCCGCAGGTCATCTGGACAGACAATTTGAGGAGTTTGGACCTTGTCCCCTGAGGTTTTGGGGCAGAGAAGGGAATTCCTGCACGGCACTCAGGCTTGTCGCTCCAGTAGCTCAGGGGAACTGGCAATGTGGGCCTGGGCCTGTGGGAGGAAAGGCTGGGCCAGGGAGCCCTGGGTTTGAACATTCAGAGCTTGAGGACCTCTAGATTGTGAGAGAGGGAGGGATGTCCAGGAAACTGCAGGTCTGCAGGGTCCAGTCTGGGAGCCCTCCACGCGTCGGAGACAATTTCAGGTTATGAAGAGTGAGTGTTGCCAAGGCTGAGAGTCTGCAAGGAGCCGGAGGGGAGCAGGAAGGGATGCACGGTGTGGTGTCCTGGACCGCAGGGAGGGAGCATGAGGAGTGACAGGGATGCATCGAGGGCACACAAGTCCAGAAAGATAGGAGTTCCCCTGAGACTTTATAGCTTGCATTTTTTTCACTTCTGTTTTTTTTAAAATTTTTTTATTGTTATGTTAATCACCGTACATTACATCATTAGCTTTTGATGCAGTGTTCCATGATTCATTGTTTGTGCATAACACCCAGTGCTCCATTCAATACGTGCCCTCTTTAATACCCATCACCAGGCTAACCCATCCCCCCACCCCCTCCCCTCTAGAACCCTCAGTTTGTTTCTCAGAGTCCATCGTCTCTCATGGTTCATCTCCCCCTTCAAGCACTTGGATTCTGCCAAGAGCTGTGGCTTACCTTTAAAAAAACTCTTGTTTTGTTGAGGTGTAACTCACCATACGATCCATCCACAACCGTGCAGTGGGGTGCAACCACCAGTGCTATTTATTTCCAGAATGTTTTCATCACTCCGGAAGAAATCTTGGCCCCATTAGGAGTCATTCCCCAGCTGCTGGCAACTGCCAGTCTACTTTCGATCTCTATGTATTTGCCCACATTGCACATTTCGTGTAAGTAGGATCATGCAACATGTGATCTTTTGTGTCTTGACTTCTGTCATTTAAGGTAACACTGTCAAGGTTCATCCAATGATATTTCACTGTATGGATAGTCTACATTGTGTTTACACATTCATCAGTTGATGGACATATGGGTTGTTTCCACTTTTGGGGGGTTATAAATAATGCCACTATGAACATTCGTGCACACATTTTTGTGTGGATATTTCTTTCCATTTCTCTTGGGTGTATAGCTGGGAGTGCAGTTGCTGGGTCACATGGTGGCTGTATATTTAAACTTTTTAAGAACCATCAGACTTTCCCAAAATGACTGGCCGTTCTGCATTCCCACCAGCAAGGCATGAGGGCATGAGGGTTCCACTCTGCACGTTTAATCAATGCATGTTATTGTCTGTCAGTTTGATCCTGGCCATCGTAGTGGAGGTATCTCATTGTGGTTTCAATTTGCACTCCGGATGGCGAATGATGCGGAGCATCTCTTCACCTGCTCCTTGGCCATCTGCGTATCTTTGGAGAAACCTCTATTTGAGGCTTTTAAATTGGGTTATTTGGCTTTGTTATTAAGATTCTTCACATAGTCTGGGTGCAAGTCCCTTATCAATATGTGATTTGCAAATATCTTCCATTCTCTGGTTTGCCTTTTCACTCACTCATTGGTGTTCTTTGCAGCAAAAGTTTTTGAGTTTGATGAAGTTGAATTAATCTACTTTTATTGCTTGTGCTTCCGATGCCGTGTCCAGGAAGGCGTGGTCTCACCTAAGGTTGTGAAGGTTTATTCCTGCCTTTCCTTCTTCAAGGTTTTAGTGTCAGCTCCTACATCCAGGTCTGTGTCCCTTCTGAATTAAGTGTTGTGTGTGTGTGTGTGTGTGTGTGTGTGTAAAGAGTGGGCCCTCGTTCCATTGCTTGTGGACATCAGGGGGGTGGGGAGCCCGACACCACTTGAGAAAACTGCTCCTTCCCCAGGATGTTGTCCAGGCACGTTGGCCAAAGGCAGTTGACCCTACATATCAGGGTTTACTGCCAGTTTCTTAGCTCTTTCCCGTCAGTCTACACGCATCTGTCTTCATGTGCCGCCATATCAGTCCCCTTTGCGGCAAGTTTTGAAATCAGGCAGAACAGATTTTCCAACTTTGTTCTTTTTCAAGGTGGTTTTGTCTATCCTGCATTTCCAGATAAATTTTAGGATCAGCTTTTTAATTCCTGCAAAAAAAAAAAAAAAAAAGCCAGCTGAGATTTTGATGGGGACCACACTGGCTCTGTAGATGAGTTGGCAAACATCAGTATTTTAACAATATTGAGTCCTTCTGACTTGTGAACAAGGGGTGTCTCTCCATTTACTGAGACCTCAGATTTCTTTCAAAAATGCTTTGTAGTTTTCAGAGTATAAATTTTACACTTCTTTTGTTGAATTTATTTCTCTATATTTTATTATTTTTGATGCTGTCATGAATTGAATTTTTCTTCATTTCATTTTTGAGTTGTTCATTGTTAGTGTATAGAAATTCAGTTGAGTTTTGCATATTGATTTTGTACCCTGTAAACTGGCTGAGCTAACTGATTCTAATCGTTTTTTAGTGGATTCCTTAGGATTTTCTATATACATAATCATGTCATCTGCAGATAAGAGATAGGTTTCTAATCAGGATGCCTTTGATTTCATTTTCTTGCATGACGGCACTGGCTGGAGTGTCCAGTAGTGTGTTGATGAAAAGAGGCCTAGTGGACACCTTTATCTTGTTGCTGATGTTCGGAGAAGGGCATTCAGTCTTCTCTATTAACGTATGATGAGAGCTGTGGGCATTTCATAGACGCCCTTTATCAGGTGGAGGAAATTCCCTCCTGTTCCCAGTTTGTTCAGAATTTCTGTCACGAGAGGGTGTGGGATTTTGTCGAATGCTTTTTCTACATCTGCTGACACGATCATGTATTTTTGTCCTTTATCGTGTTGGCATGGCATATTGCATTGATTGACTATTTTCTATTCTTTTTTTTGTTTTTTGTTTTTTAGAGAGAGAGGGAGAGGTGGGAGGGGCAGAGGGAGAGGTAGAGAACCCCAATCAGACTCCACGCTCAGCTGGGGCCCAACGTGGAGCTCAATCTCACGACCCTAAGATCATGACCTGAGCTGAAATCAAGAGTCAGACGCTCAACCGACTGTACCAGCCAGGCGCCCCCTAATTGACTTTCACATGTTGAGCCGCCCGTAGTTTCCTGGGGGCACAGGTGCCTTGTCCTGGTGTGTGATCTTTCTCCTGTGGGGCTGGATTCAGTCTGCAGGACTTACTGAGGAGTTGTTCACCTGTGTTCATAAGGGATGTTGGTCTGTAGCCCTCCTTTCTCGAGATGTCTTTGGTTTGGGATTCAAGGTGCTGCTGGCTTTATGGGACACCCTACGGAGGTGTTCCCTGTGCCTCTGTTTTTTGGGAGACTTTGTGGATAACTGGTACGTTTCTTTAAATGTTTGGTAGAATTCACAGTGGAAGCCCCATGGCTTGTCTTTGTGGGCAGTTTGTTGATGCTTACCCAGCGTCCGTGTCCACTGTAGGTCTGTTCAGATTTCCTACCCCCTCCCATTCCCCTGTGGGGGGGGGGGCGTCCCCTCCGTGCCTTTCCCCTCTTGCGCGCGCGCGCGCACGCACACACACACACACACACACACACAAAGTTCTTTTGTCACGAGATCACGCTCCCATTGCTTCTCAGTATTGAGCAGCCATACTCAGAGCCCCGCGTCCTAGACTGCTTCCACACTCAGTGGGTCCGCGCTTGGGACCTACTCTCCTGCTGTTCCTCTAAGTCTGGGTTCACCAGCCCCTCCTGTCCTGGGCCTTGATGAGCTGGGGCACTGTGGAGAAGGAGCCAGTCCTCTCAGAAAATTCCAGAATGATTCTTTGGTCAAGGGGCTGGGCTGCAGGGTGCCTGCTTTGTTGGTGGGAAGCCAGGTGTCTGTTTGCAAGAGAGTTCAGGACAGAAGTCTGTGTTCAAAGGCTCTCTGGCAGATGTCCCATGTCCAGGCAGCCTTGTAGGGGACCTTTGGTCCTGTTCTGTGTGGCCAAAGTGGACCGGCCAGCGTTATCCGGACTCCAGAGGGAGGCTTCCTGGGCTGTGAGGCCTGGCTGGGCCTCGGGAGGATGGGCCTGGTGGCCCTGAGAGGGCAAGGTGTCCTTGGGCCAGGCTGTAGCCCACGGAGCCTCTAGCCTCAGCTGCCCAGGGCTGCCCACTGCAATTGGCCGCCTCCTCACCTTGTCTTTGGGGAAGGTAGACATGAGGTCTTGTACGGTCATTCTCTTTTGCCAGCCCTTTGGGAGTCTGTTTGTTTCTCTCCTACTTGCCACACGGTGTGCCCGCACTATGCCTTGGGTGGGTGAATGGGCCAGCTCGCTGGCTCAGGTTGTCTGTCTCCTGCAGGCTGATGCCCAGCAATGGCGCCCCCGTCAGAAGGCGGCACTGATGCCCTCCTCCCAGATCTCCCCAAGGGGCCCCTGCAGGCCTACCGCGCCCGCGCCTCCTTCTGCTGGCGGGAGCTGGTGCTGTTCCTGGAAGGCGAGGACGTGCTGCGCCTGAAGGTGAGGCGAGCCAGCAGTGGGCTGGGCTGAGCCCCATGGCTGTGCTGGGTGTCTGGTTCGTGGGCACTGGCAGGCCATCTGGCCCCTGAAGGCCCCAGCAATTGCCTGGTGTGGCCTGGGTCCTGGGAGCCCTCTGGGGGAGCGTCACTGCTGCCTGGGAAGAAGCTCAGGCTGATTCAGCTTCTGAGGCCTTGGGTCCCTGTGCTTGTGACTGGAATGACTTCCATCTGCCCCTGGGTCTCTGGGCTGGACCATGCCTCGTGGAGCAGATTGTAGTGAGGGTCCGTCCTTGGCCTCCAAGTGGGCCACTCCCTGTCTCCTCCATTTCCAGAAGGCCATCTTCTCAGCTTTGGAGAATGACCCGCTCTTTGCTCGTTCGCACGGGGAAGATCTCTCCCTGGAGAAGTACCGGGAGCTGAGCTTCCTTCGCTGCAAGCGGGTCATGGAGTACAGCCTCCTCCCTGTGGAAGAGATGGTGGCCAGGCCTCTGTCGGTCCAGACGCTCATCGCCTGCCTGGGCATGTATGACTGGTCCCTGGCTGTCAAGTTCTTGCTGCACATGCTGGTGAGTGGGCAGGGAGGAGGGCGGAGGAGGGCGCCGCCCGGGCCCAGGCAGGAGGCCGAGACACGGACAGAGCAGGTCCTCATTTATGTAAATGACACACAGCCCGTGCGATGTAGACAGGGCCCGCAGGGTGTGCTGCTGGCCAGCGTTTGCTGGCTGGTAGAGTTTTGTGGGGATGCAAGCATTTGGGGAAATGTTTCTTTTTAAGAGAGTTCTGAGAAATAATAGAGGAAGCAAAAATGGAGATGCGAACGCATGGGCAGGTCTCGTGATGCCTTAAGGAGAAGTCCTGCTTTTCTCAGCTGTCCATGCAAATGGGCACACAGGAGTCCTTGACGAGAATGCCGTGCAAGTTAAAGCCCCATAAGAAGAGGAGCCTTGGGGCTTTTTTGCTTTACACCAACCACCTGCCCCCCCCCCCAAAAAACCCCACAAAAAGCAAAACCAGCAAGGAAGGGGAAGCAGTTCAGGGGGGACGCTGGGGCTCCCATTGCCGGTACACGGGCAGAGGCGAAGACGTGTCCATGGCCTCGGCAGACACGTGGCCCACCCCTGGGGCTCTGATGGGAAGCTGGGCTCGCCTGCCCGCCCTGCACCCTCACCCCTCCACTCCCCCTGTGCTCCCCCTCTGCGTCCCCTGTGCTCCCATCACCCTGCCCATCCGTCCTCTTGGGACTTCCCTCTGGCATCTTAAGTGTGAGGTGCTCCTGCTTAAGTTACATGAACTGCTCGGGCCAGGGATGCGGGTCTCATCCCGGCCGTGGGCATTACAGCGCGTGCCGTCCCCAACACCCCAGAACAGCAGGACTCCTTAACTTGCACCTGTTGCATGATGATTTTATATTTCCAGACTTTTGGATCAGCGATTTACAGCTCTGGCTCTGAAAGACATTTAAAATACCTTCCAAAGATCTTCAACATGGATGTGAGTTGAAAGCCCCCGTGAGCTGTGAGCCCACGTTCTTCTCCCCGTGCACCTCAGGGTGCAGGAGGGAGTCCCCGGGGGCTGCACCGAATCCTCAGCGCTCGGTGGGTTTAGCATGTGGCTCTCAAAGCCAAGCGTTCAGTTTTCTTCCACTCCCAGGAGCAGTTCCTGGTTCCGCACTGCCCTGGCGCGGCTGCTGTCAGCTCGCCTAGCCCTCTGTCCTGCAGGCTGGGGCTGTGGAGTCCAGCATGGCCCCGTGATCCCGTAAGACCCTAGCCGGTTGGGTTGGGGGGGGGTTGGGGATTTGGTGCGTTGGCCTCTAATTTAGTCCTTCTGGAAAGACGGTGGCAGGGCCCCTCCAGGAGCGTGCAGAAAGAACCTTTCTTGCCTTACACCATTTTGTGCTTCGATACTAGATTTTTGGGTGCTTTGCGGTGACTGAACTCAGTCACGGGAGTAATGCCAAGGCCATCCAAACAACTGCTCACTACGACCCCACCACCGAGGTAGGTATTACGTTCCCGTCAGTCTCGGGGCTTCGAGCATGCATAATGTGGGGTCCCTACACTCAGAAATCTGTCCTTGTACACGTGTGCTTCTCATGCACACTGAGATCGTCACCCTGCCAAGTGGTAGCTTGGGACATAGAGGGTTTATTTGTTCACCAGGCAGCCTGTTGGTGTTGGGTTCGTAAATGTTCAAGCTGCCCACGCTTTCTAAAACGAACAATGTGAAGAAGATTCTCCTTGACCCTGGTCCCTTTCTAGCTGCCTGCTCCCCATCTGTGGCCAGGCTCTGCCGGCCAGGGGTCTGCCCTGCCCACTCCTGCCCCTGCATCTGGCCCCTCGGATCACGTGGCTGGTGAGCACTGTTGGCCGCTGCCTTGTGTGTTCTGCCAGCACATCCGTGGCGCGGGTGTTGTTCTCAGCACCAGGCACTCAGGGGCTGTGACCTTGCTCTCGAGGAGCAGACGCTCTGGGCTCTAGTCGGGGGAGTCAGATGTCAGCTAATGGAGTCATGATTTATCGGGTGGTCGGTGCTGTGGAGGGAAGCGAGGGCAGGGAGGAATGGAGCGCACGGGTCAGGCAGCCTCCTCTCCGTCACCTCTGTGCCCTGTGGCTGGGGTCAGTCTCCTCTGTTTCTCTGAGGACAGCGCTCTCTGCTGCTCATTACACACTGGTCTGGTGATTCGGGACCCCTCTGCCTTCCCCATGCTGGTAGCAGAAAGCGTAACAGAAAGTGAAGCCCTGTGCTCGTGTATTCGCTCATCACTCATTTGTTCTCCAACAGCACGGGCCGAGTGTGCACTGGGCACCTGCGTGCTGCCTGCCAGGAGTGCCCAGGGCCACAGCCCTGAGGGGAGCTGCCGGCGGGGCAGAGCGGGGCCGGGGGAGAGGTGGTTGCCGCCCGGTTTGACAGCCGTCCACAACAGAGTAGGGCGGAGAGAGTGCTGCTCAGCCACGGCCCCCTTTGGCTTTCCAGCCACCAGATACCTTTCTCCGAACCCAGGTTTTTCTGGCCTGGCCTCGTCTCTTTGCTCTGCACTCTGGTGCCATGGGCCCTCCATGCTAGGCGGGGAGGCAGGGTGGAGGCAGGGTGAAGCCTGGATGTCCACGGGGCAGCCCGGTTCTGACCCACTGCCTGTTGGCATCTGCACCTAAGTGAAGGTCAGAGCATGATGTCAGCTGCTGGGATCAGGAGCCCGGGGCCCTCTGTGGGCTGCTGGTTAGGCGCCCATGTTGACAACAGGTGTTTGTTGACCACCTGGTATGTGCCAGGCACTGCTTTAAGGGACAGGGCACCTAGCAGTGAGCACAACAGATTAGTCTGTGCTCTGGGGGTCGCCTGTGCTGGAGGGGAGACACAGACGGGCAGCAGCAAGGAGATTTGGGTGTGCCAGGGACCGTGGAGACACGGACGGGGTGGGGCAGTGTGCCGTGACCCGAGCAGTGGCTGGGTGAGGGACAGTGACAGGTGGTGGCCCCACGGAGAGATGAGCCGAAGGCAGGACCGGCAGACCTACCCCTGCCCTCACTTTTCTTTAGTGGGGTCTTGGCATCTGGAAGGTAGTCCCTGGGGCACTCAGAGTTGATAACCCGGCACACACCGCCGGGCTGTGCAGGGACATTCCCCATGTGCTCTTCTCAGCTTCCCGCCCACGGGGAGAAGGAAACCTGCCCAGCATTTGCCCTCAGTGGCCTGCAGCTTACGCAGACGACTCACTGTCAGATGCTGGCTTTGCCCAGCTACCCAGCCCTCCCTCCCAACCCTGGGATAGCTCCCATCCTTCCCCAACCCCGCCTTACTCCCAGCCCAGCCCCCAGCCCGGCCCCCCATTGCTCCTCAGCTCGTCTCCTGCCTCACTGAGCACCCGGCGAGCCTCCCAGCACCTCCCTTGATCCGTGGGCTTGTTCACTCCAACGTTTCCAGGGTCCGCCTTGTGCTCCTGGGCACGTGGCCCTCGTGGAGCTCGTAGGTGGGGGACACCATGGAAGGAGGAACAGTACATTGTTGGTTAGCGCCCATGAGGGGAGAGGGAGGAACACAGCAGAGGAGGGGCTCCACTTAAAGGCTGTGGCCAGGGAAGGCGCCCCGAGGGGTGAGGCCTCGCAGTAAGCACCACCTGGGCGCTGGCCGGCTGCTGGAATGTTGGGTGTATATTTTATCATCTGACTCGAGTCCTCACTTTCCACAGATGTGTCCTCATTAAGTCATGGGGCCCGGGGATATGCTGTGTTTAAAAACAGGGCTCCCTGCGCCAGACAGGAGCTAAAACGTTCGGGTACTTCTACTCTTCCTCAGGGATTTTGAACAGAACGTTGAATCTATGGAAAAGGGAAAGGAGTTCTGCGTGTGTTTTAGTTGTTAATTATAACTTTGATTATAACTTTATTATTATTATTATTATTATTTTGCGCAGGAATTCATCATACACTCTCCTGACTTTGAAGCTGCCAAATTCTGGGTTGGCAACATGGGCAAGACAGCTACTCACGCTGTGGTGTTCGCTCAGCTGTACACGCCGGGGGGGCAGTGCCACGGCCTGCACTCCTTCGTGGTGCAGGTGAGTGGCTCCTGGCTGGGCGGCTTCAGCGATGGACGCGCAGCATCGTCCAGAAGCGCCTTCATGGCTGCTGGGGGCAGGGGCGCTCCTAGCTTCTAGTGAGCACAGACCAAGGGAAAGAAGAACCCCCTGGCATGCACAGGACAGCCCACCCGCCTCCAAGAGGGGAAGATCCAGCCCCCAGTGTCAGGGGTGCTGGGGTCGATCAACCCGGTGTAGACCTGGGGTCACCCGAGGGAGAGACTTTCTGTCCCTCTGGTGACCATGTCGCCATGTTTTCAGCCGCTCATCACAAACCTGGGCTTACCAGCCCCACCGTCCTGTGGTTCTGCCTGGCAGGTATGAGGTGGGTTCCGGTGCTGATGTGAAGTCCGACTCGGGGGCCTTGATGTAGCCTGTTCCTGGGTCACAAGCAGGAAGCTACCACCAAGGGGTGCCCGGGGCTGACGGCCAGGCCAGGGCTCCCGGCCTCCCTGGTGGGGCCCGTTTCCTGACTGCTCAGGGCTGCTGCAGTGTCCTTGAACCCCAAGCTTCCGGAAGCTTGCCCAGGGCCTTTCTGCCTTGGCCAACTGGAATGGGAGCCCCGCTTCCCCCCACCCTGACCCATTCCAGCATTTCTGTTAGGATATTTCTGGTGAGGGGCTCTCGTGAGAGAAGAAAGTCAGTCACATTTTTTTTTTTTCCTAATTGAGGTGAAATTCATATAACATACAATGAACCATTTTGAAGTGAACAGTTCAGTGGTATTTGGTGCTTTCCTAGTGCTGTCTCTCTAGTTCCCAAACATTCTCATGTCCAGGAGAACACCCCGTACCCACGCTCGCTCCCGACTCCCCTCCCCAGCCCCTGGCAACTGCTAATCTGCTCTCTGTGGGCTTGCCTGCTGGACATCTCACGTGGAAGGAATCCTACAGCATGACCTTTCCTGTCTCGCTACGTTCACGTACTATGGTTTTGAAGTCCACCCATACTATAGCAGGTGCCGGAATTTCCTTACTTTTTAAGGCTGAATAATCCATTGTATGGATTGGACCACAATGTGTGTATCCACTTGCCTCCTAATGGACGTTCAGGTGGTTTTCACCTTTTGGCTGCCGTGAACAGTGCTGTGAGTGCTCACGAGCAGGGTCTGTTTGAACCCCTGTTTCCGTTCTTCTGGGTAGATGCCCAGGAGTGGACGTGCTGAGTCCTATGGTGATGCGGTGCTTAACTTTTTGAAGAATCGCCATACTGCTTTCCACACGTCCCACCAATTTGTATTCCCATCTGCAGTGTATGAGGATCCCAGGTTCTTTAGACCCTCCCTGATACATATTTTCCTTTTTGTTAAATAAGCACACTGGTGGGCACGAGTTGGTATTTGTTGTGGTTTTGATTTGCATTTTCGTGATGATCTATGACGTTGAGCTTCTCTTCGTGTGCCAGTTGGCCACTCGCGTGTTTTCTTTGGAGAAATGTTTGTTCAAGTCCTTTGCCCTGTGGAACGACGCTAAGGCCCACCCCCCACTCCCCCACCCAAGGGAAAGGCAAAGGCTGTTTGCCCAGAGCTGGCTGAAGCAGGGGAGCGGCCACCATCCCTCGGGAGGCTGGGGCAGTCCTGAGCCTGGTCAGGGGATCGGGCTGGGCTTTGTCAGGTTGGTCCTAGGCTGGTTAGCAGGACAGAAACAAGGGACGCTGTCAGTCACTGAGCGAGCCCTGGCCCGTTGCCACCGGGTGCTTGCTTGCCTTCCTGCACTGCTTGCTGTGGGCTGTGGCTCACGGTCCTCCCATCACGTGGCCAGGCTGTCATCCATCAGTGCCTCTCCATCCAGCTCTGAATTGGGTGGTTTGTCTTCTTACTGTTGAGTTCTGAGAGCTCTTCACGTGTCCCGGAGACTCAACCTTCATCCGATAGATGATTTTCTCTCATTCCATAAGTTGTCTTTCTATTTTCTTGTTTGTGTCCTTTGAGGCACGAAGGGTTTTAATTTCAGTGAAGTCTGGTTGGTCCCTTTCCCCCTTGTTGCTCGTGTCCTTATCTTCAGTTCACATTTGAGCCACTGAAGCCCAGATGCCGCTTTTTATTACCTCCGGCCGCCATGCACTGCCTCTGTGAGTACAGGCTTGTACCTGAAGTGAACTTCTTGTGGAGACTGGGCTAGCATTCACTTTGTTCAGAGTTTCCGGCCCTTTAGTCGAGAGATCTGTGGTGTTTCAGTCTCTGGCAGGACCGTGTCACCCCTCCATCCAGCAGGACATTTCTGCATGCCTAATGTACGCCAAGCAAGGGCTTGTGGGTGGCGTGTGTCCCCATCCTCATCAAGGAAGAGAGCATGGAACAAGGACTCACCAGGCTAGTCAGAGGTGCGATGCATGCTACGGGTCATGGCCGATCCAGTGGAGGGCTGTGATTTTTCAGAGGTTTGTTTGCTCAGGTCAGGTTGGCAGACCTCACAAATTGTAAATGGACACGGTCACATTTATTTGTGATAAGTATGACGTTAACTAGTTCCACTGTGGGCATTGGTCTGCTCCCTTTCCTTGACTGGGAGGTTAGTGTGGGATTTGTGGCAACTGCATGGTCATCGATTTCCATGTGAACTGGGACTTGCCCCTACACTGTTCTTCTCTGCAATTCCTCGAAAGGCACCAACTTGTTTTCTTTTTTTTTTTTTAAAGATTTTATTTATTTATTTATTTGAGAGAGAGAATGAGAGAGAGAGAGAGCATGAGAGGGGGGAGGGTCAGAGGGAGAAGCAGACTCCCCACCGAGCAGGGAGCCCGATGTGGGACTCGATCCCGGGACTCCAGGATCATGACCTGAGCCGAAGGCAGTCGCTTAACCAACTGAGCCACCCAGGCGCCCAACCAACCTCTTTTCTTTCAGTGCGTCTTCTCTCCACGTGCACTTCCTTTCCAACTTTGTTTTTTTTTTTTTAATTTCAAAACGTTATGAAAAGTTAGCATCCGAATCTTCACCAGGGCTTACTGAAAGATGAGGAAGGGGGAAAGAGCATTTATGTTTGGACCTCAGCCTTTGTTTTTATCTGAAATACCATTATCGTGACATTCAATCGAATCAGGTGGTTGTTCCACCAAAATAAACGAAAGCAAGCAATTCTGCAAATAGCTAAACTCCCAATAGCACAAACTCACTGTTTCCTTAAAGCAGAGTTTCTTGCCCTGTGCCATGGACCTTTGAGCTGGGTGAGCCTCTTGTGGGGCCGAGCCGTGTGCGGTAGGCATGCTCCACCCGTGTGCCCAGGGTGCCCTCCAGTACGGACAGCCAGAGGGTCTCAGACAGGACACCCGGCCCCGGCGGCGACGGGCAGTATGGGCTCACACCTGGTTGGGAGTCGCTACCATACCCTGGTGTTCTCGGGTGCAGCCCCCTGTCCCTGGCGTAGCGCTCGCACGGCAAGGAACCATCCACTAGCTACATCTGTAGTGTCTTGGAAAGTATATTCACGGAAACCCGCTTTGGGAGCAGAGATCTACAGGACTAATCACCGGCTCTGTATCCTCCCACGTGCATGCGCCCTGGTCCGGCGGCAGCCTGGCGCGTAAATCCGAAGGTAACATTGCTGCTGGCCTCAAGGCTGCAGTGCTCCTCCACCCCCATGCCAGGCACCCGGCGCTGCCGCAGCGGCCCAGCACCACAGAGCTGGAGGCCGAGCATCTGACGCCAGTGTGGGCAGCTCCCACCCCCCACCTCGCGTCCCCGGGCTCCAGGGGACAGTCCAGCCCCTGGTGGCCGCCAAGTCACTGGGCCTGTGGCCGCATCTTCTCTGTCTCTTGTAGGACACTTGTCATTGGATTTGGGGCCCACCTGGGTCATTTGGGAGGACCTCATCTCCAGATCCTTCGCTTAATTACAGTTGCGAAGACCCTAGCTCCAAAGAAGGTCACGTTTTTGAAGGACACTGTTTCCCCCCACAGATACAGGAAGGGAGCCTGGGGCTCAGTCACTGAGGGTTTTTAACACATTCGTTTTAATTTCTGTGAAGTCCTAATGGTTGACGTTCATTGTTTTCTGTGCGTTGTGCAGATTCGGAACCCCAAGACCCTTCTTCCCATGCCAGGGGTAATGGTTGGCGACATCGGGAAGAAGCTGGGGCTGAACGGTGTGGACAACGGGTGAGTGTATGCCCTGACCTCGTGGTCACAGTGTTTTCTGTGGGGTCGTCACACACTCTGCATCACACACCTGTGTCATAAACACACCCCATGTCACACACACCTGTGTCACACACAACCCATCTCACACCGTGTCACACATACCCCACATCACACACACTTGTGTGACACACACACCCCTTGTCACAACCCCGTGTCACCCACCCCTGTGTCACCCTCCCTGTGTTTCACGTACATTGTTTCACACATGCCATGTTACCCAAACACATCATGTCACACACCGTGTCTCACACATACCATGTCACACATATACATTGTGTCACACACACCCCGTGTCACACACACACCCACTGGCCTGGCCACCATCTGACTGTTTCTGGAACAGCTTTTGTGGTCTGCATGTGCTCAAAAGAGGTATGTGAAGTTTTGCTCTCAGTTAAACTCGAGGGCATATTTTCACAAGTATAAATACATTCAGACTTGTTCTATCTCCGTGTGGCAAGAACGGGTGAAGATTTTCCATTCCTTAAAAAGGGCACTTTGAGTTTACAGAGTTGTGCTTGAAAAAGCATTCCTCAGCTTTCAAGTAATAAGCTGGAACACTCCAGGGGTGCTGGCACCCAGTCTGTTCTTAAAAAGTGGATATCTGAACTCACTGCCTGGGGGGCCTCCACTGCGGCCAGTTGGAGCGGCCCCACGGAGGCCCAGGCGCAGCGGCCGCTCCTGGGCAGGGCCTCAGATACTCCCAGCGGGGCCTGCAGAGGAGCTGGTCTATAGCTGACCTTTGTTTCATACTCAGGAGGGCGACCTGCAGAGGTTGGCCTCTTGCCTGGATGCTGGCAGGGGCCTGGTGGCCAGCCGAGTATTCCTCACCTGCAGATCCTCTAGATGCTTTCCAAGGAATTCGGGAGGGGCTACTCCAGCCCGCCTTGCGCCCAGCCCTGGGTCTCTGCTCTTCCCTGGGGGTCCTGGACAGTGCACTGCATCTTTCCTCCAAGGCTGGCCTGGACCCAGGGTATGGTGGAGAGATCAGCGATACCCAGGGGTCAGTGTCTCACCTGCTGTCCACCAACTGCACGGCTCTTAGTAAGCATCTTCCAGGTGTCAGGCCCAACGGCCCCATTATAAAAGGGTCAATAAGATCCACAGAAACTGCCAAGGAGAAGAAGGTGGCTCAGTGAGAACATGGACAGTAGGCCATTGCCACAGAAAGGGGCCACCTTGTAGTGGCGCTGGGGGGCCACCCGTACCTGCTGCAGGCGGAGTGAGAGAAGAATCATGATGGGCCTCTGAGGAGGTGGCGGCGCTCTGAGGGCTGCCTGTGCAGGGATCATGGGAAAGCTGGGCCTGTTGAGTGTCATGGCAGGTGCCACGTGGCTGGAGGCAGGGAGGAGAGTGGGGCTGGGGGGTCAAAGGGACTTGTGCAGGTGTCACCATTCCGATCAGCAGTTTGGAAAGGCTCGTGCTACTGTGCACAGGACGGGCTGAAGAGGTGGGTCTGCAAAAAGCCCAGGAGTGATTGTCACAGTGAACCGGACCAGAGGAGGTGGGGGCTGAATGAACACGGATGGAGGGGAGGGGGAGGTCAGGACCCTCCTCGGGCAGAGCTGACACCCAGCTTTGATGGCGTGCTTGGCCCCATCTTGGGGGTAACTGCAATTCGAGCAGGAGCTGGTGTGAGCAAAGAGGGTGCTCCCCTCTCGGGCTTGGTGATGCTGTGCTCTCAACCGTGGCCTCCTGTGGGCTAGAAGAACATTCTGGATGACATCGAAAGTGCTCTTGGTAGTCAGATAAGTTGCTATGGGAACTGTCAATATTTCTAAGATGGTTTGGGGTTTTTGCTCAGTTTATGTAGCATCCATTCCTTTATATAATACCCTTTATATAATACCCTTGTCCCTTAGACTGTTGTGAAATAGGTTTTCCCAACCTGACAACCCTAACAAATGTCTTCAATTGCTAATGCACAAGAGATCTATAACGATGTGTGAGTGAGCCTCTAGTCTTCCTAGCTTTTCAAAAGAAACGAGTTTGTGTGCCTTAGGAGCATGGATACAATAACACTGTTCTTTTGTTGGACATGAGAGTTTTCAAACCTTAGTTTGCTAGTTTTCCACATCGTATTGTGGATCCTGGTACGAGACCGAAGGGTGAGAACCAGGGATTCTGATCTTTAAAGAAATCAGTTTCCCCCTTTTTTGTTGACTCCCTACCTTCGTCCCAGTGGCATAAGGCACCTGGCCCCGTGGTTACCAGTACACGGCCATTTGCTTCTGCGCAGAGCCCCGCCACGTGCACGCCATGTTGTTTTCCTGAACCTACTTTTTAGATAGAAAAATGTGTCGAAATTTCCTGTCTCTGGTGTCTTCTTCCATTTTCTTTATTTGGGGGGGATTGTCGCCGTTTTAGCTTTCCTTTGCTTTTCTTCAACTGGGTTTCTTGGGGGAGAGGAGAGAAGCCCCAGGGCCAGAGCCCTGTTTAACCAGAAGTCCTGCCATATCTGCACAGATTTGCCATGTTCCACAAGGTTCGAATTCCTCGCCAAGACCTCCTGAACCGGACTGGAGACGTCACCCCTGAGGGTACCTACATCACCCCCTTTAAGGTACAGGTATCTCCAGCTGGGGAAGTTCATGGGTAGAAAGTGCTGCACAGGACACTCCCTGGGCTTGCATGGAGACCCACCGCCTGTGCTGGGTTGGCCAGTGGCAGACCTTTCTTGGTTCAGGCACCAGTGCCACCAACAAGGAAGGTGGCACTTGGGTCGGCTTCACCCCCAGGGTCCTGGGCATGATGACAAGACGCTGGCCGACAACTGCCCATGAATGTCCACTCCTCTGCCCACCCCCAATTCTCCAGGGTTAGTTAGGGAGGCTGCCCCTTGCTGCTGCTGTTTCCCCCAAAGGGCTTAAGGATGTAGGTTGCGTGGTGGACCATCCCAAATGGGGATGACCGTGTTCTCTGGCATCTGGGGCTTACCGCATCCCTAAATTCTTTTGAGGGGTAGACACACACGATGGCCATGGCCCATGTTGGAGCAGGTCCTGAGCTCACAGCTGCGGTGGCCATGTCCCCAGGAGCACATGAGCCTCAAAGGACTCTGTCTGACGCCATGCACCGCCTGCCTGGAGCCGGAACAGCAGGGTTGCAAGCCAGCATGCTGGGGACACTAGGGATGAGGAGAGAAGTCAGCAACGTGGAGGGCCCGTGGAGCGCATGCTTCAGACACACTGTAGAGAAATGAACACATGCCACAGAGAGACATCTGAGACCTTCCAGAGGGGGCGTGCAGCTCAGACTCCCCGGGGTGTTCCTCGCTGAGCCTTCAGATTTCCCCAGCAACGATGCAGCACAACGTCATGGCCGTGTGGGGGCGTCAGAACGGCTGTCCGGCCTTCGCAAGGTTGCCGCACAAATACCGCAGGGCGTGTAACTTGGGAAGAAGAGTCCAATTAATAAAAGAAATGAAGGCAGGAGAGTCAGCAAGAGGTGAGGGAGGTCAGGATGGCTGGATGGGTTAAGGCGGGCTGCAGCAGGCCACCGCCGCCGCGGAAAAGCACGCCCGGGGCCCTGAGGCCGGCAACAGGAGATTCTCACAGATGCATGTGAGGCCGCTGTCCGTCGTGAAAGAACACAGCCAGTGACCGTCACCACCCTCAGGAAGGTTGTCTTCCATGGGGAGGGAGGAATTCCGGGGGCATGGGGGTCGCAGGAACAGGATGTTGGCAGCGGCGGCAGCTCCTTGGCCCGGGGTCCCCGTGCACTGAGTGCAGCCAGGGGTGGACTCGTGCAGCCCGGTCCCTCCGTCCTCCGTAGCAGAGCCTCCCCCACCCCGGGTGCCTCCTGCCGTCGCCGTCCACAACTCAGACCCCCGCAGCGCTGCAGCTCGGCCTGCCCCACAACCCTGGCCTGGAGCTCTGGGTTGGGGGCGCCCTGGGGACGGGGCCCGAGCCCTGTGGCCGCTGCAGGAGTGATCCAGCTCCATTTCCCTGTGCTTCCGTCCCCGAGGCCGCCTGGCCGCCTGGCTCACGATCACCATGCACCTTTCTTTGACAGGACGACAGGCAGCGCTTCGGAGCGTCCCTGGGCACCTTGTCCTTTGGCCGGGTCGCCATTGTGGGCATGTCCATCGTGAACTTAAAGCTGGCCGTCTCCATCGCGCTTCGTTTCTCAGCCACTCGGTGTCAGTTTGGGCCCTCGGACGGGGAGGAGGTACCGGTGCTGGAGTATCAGACACAGGTACGGGTTTGGCACGGCCCGCTGCCTCACCCGTCCACTGGGATGCGCACGTCTGCAGACCAGCCGCCAGGGCAGCTTGGCAGCCGGGCAGAGGCTTCTCGTCAGTGGGCAGTGGGTCAGTAGCCAAAGTAAGGGCCTTGGAGGAAGCACGTTCTGGTGAGGCGCTCACTCCTTGTGTGTGTGAGGATGCTGCAGCCTCCGGTGGTGGCCTTGCACGCCCGCGGCCACGCGCTTTGATCACTCAAAATGTCCCTAAGACATGACCCTCGTGGGAATAATCAGCCCCAGCAGCTGGGCCTTCAGGCTGTCCGTTGTGACATCACTCAGAGTAGCAGGAGGCACACTCCGTCCTGCCGGTCCTCAGGGGAGAGGCCCTTGGGATGGCAAAGGGGGAGCCCAGGTGGCAACACCGAAAAGCTGCTTAGCTCCTGGCAAAGGGAGATAAATTTTATCCCAGGGGATGCTCATGGTGCTTGTATGCTACCAACCTTTCATCCATGCCTGGCCTTCACACCTCCTGGACTTTAAGACTTCCTGATACTCCTTCCACACCTGCCTGGCCTTCATACTCTTCACACGTTTGGCCTTCAAATTTCCTCACACATCTTGGTCTTCACACTAACTCATATCCTTGGCCTTTATGACTTCCTCACGTGCCTTCTTCACACACCTGGCCTTCACCCCTTCCTTCCACATCTAGGCTTTAGGATTTCCTCACACACCTGGCCTTCACCCCTTCTTCCCACACCTAGGCTTTAGGATTTCCTCACACACCTGGCCTTCATACCTCCTCACACACTTGGCTTCCACCAGGTGCGCTGGGGTTGCTGTTCTCAGTTCATGGTGGCGAGGGGGCATTGAGGGTCAAACAGGGGGTTCCTGTCTGAGTTCAGTAGCAAGTCTGACCCGCTTTTGGGCCAAGCTGTGTAAGCACAGGTGTGTTCGAGTGAGAGCTTGAGGGAATCATAACAGAATCCCAGTTTTTTCTAACATTTCTTACCATGGTTGCCAGCCTGTTTTAATAATAAATGAGGAGAAGCAGAATATCTGGTTCATGACTGTGGGGCACACATTGTCCCCTCCACCACAAATCCCGTGGCCTTTGTGAGGTCAAGGGTGGCCCAGCGGTCAGAGAGCCCCCTGGAGCCACAGTGCTTGGGCTCCTGACCCCGCTCCACCCTACAGTCTGTGTGCCCTTGGGCAAGGTACTTCACCGCTCTGTGTTCTGGCTACCTTGTTAATAAACTAGAGCTGATAATACCTCCTTATGGGCTGGTTGTGAGGATTAAATACATTAGTCTGTGGAAAGCAGCCCGCAGGGTGTCTGGCCTTCAGCACGCAGTAAGCGATAGGTGGTGGCGACGGTGGTGGTGGTGGTGACAGCTTCCTGGGCCCTTTCCTGCTTTTTCCTCAACCCCCCTTCCATCCATGCAGTGGTGCATGTGCAAGAGACCGCCTCCCTGCCTTCGGGGGACTTCCAACTCCCTGCGAGCCTCAGTTTCCCCATCTGGCTGAGGGGTGACTGCCTGAGCCCTGTCAGGCACACAAAGCACAAGCTGTCACCCGTCCAGCCCCGCGTGCCAGCACAGTAGGCTGGTTTCCTTAGTTGTAGGTGGGCTGATAGGCCCCATTCCAGTAATCCGTGTGCGGAGACGGTAAGCTCGGTGCACAGAAGGCAGCACCCGTGGGTGAGACCGGGAGGCGGGGAGGGGGGGACGGACCGGCTGGGTTGGAAGCGCATCAGCGTGGAGGGCCTTCCCGTTAAGTGTGGCTGCAGCAGCAGGATCCTGCTGTTCCTGACCTGTTGCCCCTGGTCTCTCCTCTGGGCATCACAGCCAGCGGCCATCTGGAGGGCTTCTCTGCAGGGTACGGGGAGGGTGTTCGCAAGGGCGGGGTGGCCTTCCCACCAGGATGTGTGATGTGTTAACGCAAGCGTCTTGTTGACTGTAGCAATGGCGCTTGCTTCCCTATCTGGCCGCCGTCTATGCCTTAGACCACTTCTCCAAATCGCTCTTCCTGGACTTGGCGGAGCTGCAGCAAGGCCTCATGGGGACAGACCAAGGCGCCAGGCAGGTGAGAGGTGATGCTCTTTTCTCCACAGGGTTTATTGTTATTAACTCTCACTGAGGTCGAACAGCACTGACTCAGCCTGTCTTTCAAAACAACATCTGTCCATCCGTGGTGGCCCTGTGGGGTTCTGAGACGCTCCTAGCTGTGGCCGCCCGCTCAGGCCTCTTGGAATCCTCACTGGGATTTGGACAGTTTGGGCGCCGTCCGTATTCCTGATTCTCAAGGATGTGCTGACATGACTCTGATTCCAGCCTGTGAGTTCAGCTGTCCTCCTTTTGAGAACATGATGATTTTGCAGAATCCGCATTACCGGCCCCTCAGTAGATTTCATGGCTCTGATCCTTTCGTAAACAACCCTGTAAAGGTCTGAATCCAGCTGACGGGATTGGAATTGACGGTCAAGGATTTATGCCAGAAATGAGCATCCACTGAGCTCAGCCGCTATATAAAGTCATCCTTGGCCGATATCTGCGTAAACGGTTTATAACCGCCTTTCCATGGTCCCTCACGTTGCCTCCTGAGTGTGAGTAAAATGTGAATCACGGGGGACGCATTTGAAAACAGATTAGAAATACTGCAGATCGGTGTTATGCACAACACCCTAAAAAGCCTGTATCAAATTAGCACATTTTGGAATACTCAGCACAAACATCCGGGAGTCGGGAGGTGGTGGCGGGTGTGGAGACGGCCAGCAGGGTGCACTGCTCAGCAAGGCACGGTCCCTGGGAATGCAGGGATTAAACATGTTTTTCCCCAGCATGAGTCACTGAAACTTTTGCCAGCTGACATTGGAATCGTTCTCCTGTTAATAATGTTATAAAGTGTAAGCATGCTTTATTCTCTCTGAAACTCAGGGGTTTCACTGAAGCACCTAAAAGTGGCCCTTAGTTCAAGTTGAAAACACTGGTAAAAGGGATCATCCTATTTAGCAGACGTGTGTTTGTCTCTTTCTCTTAATTATTTCTATTAAACGTTAGGTAGAAGCAAAAGGATATCTATAAGATGCATAAGGCCCAGAGACGCTGGCTGGGGAGAGCCTTGCAGAGTTGACTGGAAATCGCCATCCCCTGCATGTCTTCTGGGAACCAGTCCCCTCCCGCTCCCCCTCCTCAGAGGGGAGCCCTGTCTCCACCTCCTGTGTGGTTTCTTGCTTTTCTTTCTGCCACAGCATACTGCTTGGTTTCGGGTTCAGGAGCATCCCATAAACCGAGTCAAAACGTACCCGTTGCTTCAGGGCTCTGCATCTGCGATCATCCTTACGCCCCTGGTGTTTATTCGCTGCACAGAGCTCAGGTCCATCCGTTTTCATGGCTGTGAAACCATTTGTACCACAGTGTATCCCCTCTGAGATGAATCCCCCCTTTTAAGCTAAAATTGGGTTTTTTTCTTTTTCTTGCAGTTGTCGGGTGTCTTGGATTAGACTAGAGGGGACACAAGCCTTTGACGCTAGGGGTGAAGTGACCCCTGACCTCTGGTGTCGGAGCCTCTTTTCACCAGTTCTTGTTGGATTTCCTCTCCCAAGGCAGAGCTTGGACGTGAGATCCACGCCTTGGCGTCAGCGGGCAAGCCCCTGGCCTCATGGACTGCCCAGCGGGGAATTCAGGAATGCCGGGAGGCGTGCGGAGGACATGGCTATCTGGCCGGTGGGTATGGAAGTTTGTGATGGTTTTCTGCACGTAGCCCTACTTTTGACTCAAGGGGTCAGCAAGCTACCGCCTGTGGGCCGAAGTTAGCCACCGCTGGTTTTTGCGAATAAAGTTTTATTGGAACATGGCCACACCCATTCGTTCCTGAATTTTCTGTGGCCGTGTTTGCATGACACCTGGGTTGAGTCGTCTCTGTCAAGCCTAAAATAGGTTCGCTGGCTGGCCTTTCCCAAAGCAGCTTTGCTGACCCCCTGGCCTAGACAGACACCTCCGCTTGCTGCTCCCTCCTGTTCTTGGTCTCCCGAGGTTCTCCACAGGGTAGGGCAGCTCCCCTGGAGCGTCCGTCAGTGACCCCCACGCTGGGGAGCAGTGGGGAGGCTGTGTGAAGGAGCCTGCCAAAACCCCAGCAGAAAGTGGATAATCTGTTCTTTTGAATTGTCACTCTTCGCTTAATGACTTGGCAGTGATCTGGCACCAAGTTTTGTCCTGGTGAAAAATTCTTAAACTTAGAGCAAGAGAGTTGGTTTTTACTGGCATTGGCCTTGTTTGGGCAGCTGGTGTGTGGCTGAGAGAGTGGGCAGCAGACAGCCTGCGACAAGCTTCTGCTCTGATGCCTGCTAGCTGCGCGACTGGGCCAGCTAGCCAGCCTCGCCGGGCCTCAGTTTCCTTATCTGTAAAATGGGGACACTCATAGTGTATGCCAACACAGGTTCCTGCCATGGTCACATGAGTCAGCACAGCATTGGGCGTGTGGCACGTCACGTAGCCAGTGGTTTCTATCTGAAGTTATTGTTGGAGCTTCTAGTATTGTCGTAGTTGCCGCTGTTATTTGTGAGCATCCCGTGTGCCAATGTTCAATAACTGGTAAGATCTAGTTAGTCCAAGCGGCCACACAGGTGCTCCAGACAGCAGAATCGGCAGAAACCTTGTTTTCAGTTGACAGTGCCACAAGCATTTTAGGCTCTTGCCAACTTTGACCATCTCGGTGATGGTCTGTGGATAATTACGTGCTTTCAGCGAGGACCCGCCCCAGGTACTTGTCGTGCGGGCGGCTCCCGCCATGCTGTGCCTCCTCATTACCCACGGACCAACAGGTGAATGTGGCTGCGCCTGAGTCACTTACATGTCTCGTCCTCTGTGCAATGTTCTGCACTTTCTGTTTGTTGTCATGGCTCAGAGAGACGCTATAAATAGTTCGCTTTGTTGGGCTTTAAGTAGAATAACGAAATGGAATCGGGCAGCCCTGCAGACAAAATGAACAACTGAGTCAGGTGTCGTGGGTACAAACGCTGGGCTGAAACCAGCAAGGCCAAGCTCAGTGGGGTAGATGTGACGGGCCTGGTCTAGGTTTAATATTAGTTGTGAGTTGTTTCTTAGTGGTCACGCCCAGCTGTTTCAGTAGAGTGGTCTATGGCAGGGGGCAGCGGGTTGGCGGGGGGGGGTAACGATCAGTGTGTCCCAGGTGACCACAAGCCCTATGGCTGCTGCAGAACATCTCACACCCTCTCGAGCTCTGTACCCAGCAGCGTGTGAGCATGGGAATCCCACTCCTCTAACCTCTGGCTTGTCCTGTCCCACCCAGCCTCACATGTGGGGAACATTCTCCGTCAGAGAAAGGAGACCCAGATGAGAGGGTCTAGAAAGTGTACCTTACAAAATATGTGCAGGAATCAGGTCCCTTCACTGGCAGGAGAGACAACAAAAGAAAACTGAGAGTTGTCTTGAGATAGTTGAAATTTCTTTTCTTTTTTTTTTTAAAGATTTATTTATTTTGAGAGAGAGTGAGCAAGAGAGCGTGCACAAGCAGGAGGGGCAGAGGGAGGAGAGAGACAATCCCAAGCAGACTCTGCTGAGCGTGGAGCCCGAGGCGGGGCTCGATCTCATAACATGAGATTGTGATCTGAGCTGAGATCCAGAGTCCGATGTGCAACCGACAGCGCCACCCAGGTGCCCTGAGTTATTTGAAATCTCTTGTGTGAAAAGATGGGTTCCCCGCAGGGTAGGCAGCTCCCCTGGAGCATCCGTCAGTGACCCCCACACTGGGGCTCTGGCAGCTGACAGCAGAAGGCTCAGTGTCCGCAGGGGAGAGGGATATGCTAGCAACCCTGGGCATTTCTCTAGCGTTCCTACTCGCCGGCGCCACGGGCCCCACGGGCTCAACTGCGTGGCTACTCGTGTCCCCTTGAAGACGGAGCAGCTGGGTGAGAGGTTGGGAGGACCCCGCCAGGGAGGAGGTGTGGTTGGGCCCAGGCAGCTTGAGAGTGCTGTGTCTCCGTCAGGCCAGCCAGGACATTGGGGTTCCCAGGGAGTGGTGGGGTTCCTGCCCTGCACGCGCACTTGAAGTGACAAAGCACGCGGCTTCATTGCAGTGAACCGCCTGGGTGACCTCAGGAACGACAATGACCCAAACTGCACGTATGAGGGGGACAACAACATCCTGCTGCAGCAGACCAGCAGCTATCTGCTCAGCCTGCTGGCATGCCACGTCCAAGGTGAGGCCCCACCCTGGCTCACGCAGGTGAGCCATCCCGGCCCCGCCGAGAGAGCCCGCCCCACAGGGCGGCCCCTGCGTCTGCAGGAAGGAAATGTGTTACAAAACATGACTGACCAGCTTCCGGGGTGCTCTGGTTACTCCGGGTCCTGGGTGTGCTTGTAGGTGGCGCTCGCTTCGAGAGCCCTCTGAGGACTGTGGACTTCCTGCAAGCCTATCCTGATATCCTTGGCCAGAGGTTCACGTGCCCCAGCGTCGACAGCTGCCTGGACTCCTCAGGTGAGCACACCGTCTCCCTGTTTCCCTCCCGTCATGATCCCTGGGGCCCGCTGGGCAGCAGGGGTTCATCCAGCACCTCCCTGGGCGTGATGCTGAGTCAGGCGCTGACTCTCCCTAAGGATGAAGAGGGAGAGGCTCTGGGTCCTATCCCTGCCTCACTGGGCGGCAGGGCCCGTGACTGAGCTGTCTTCACAGGAACCCGGGGCCCTCCTGCTCAGGGCCTTTGCATGTGCCAGCCTCACTGGCCTCACTTCTGGGGCCCCTGCCCCACAGCACGTTCACCGTTCTCAGCCGCGAACAGGCTCAGCTTCAGTCAGCACTGGGCTCCATGCTCATCGTGCTTGGCCGTGATTGTTGAGTGCCTAACCCTAACCATGAGATACCCGCCGCCATGCACAGCGGGGAACGGTGGAGACCCCGCTTCTCCCCCACTGGGTCTATCCTCAGAGAAATGAGCGCCGGGCTGTAGGCAGCACGACAAGCGAATGCGTTTTCAGTGCAGAATGAACTCGATCTACAGATGGCATGTGCCCTTGCTGGTCGCCCCTTTGATCTACAAGTGTCCGTGTGCAGCCTGGCTGGGAGGCGAGAGCCCACGAGACCCAGGTTCCTGCTCTCACGCAGCTTTGCAGTCCGATGGGGGTGGGCCTGGTGCAGGGAGCAGGGGCTGTGTGGCGGTGGCCCGCTCAGGACAGCCTGTCTGGGGTCTCAGTGACAAGGACGCAGTGGCCACGGGGGCGCCGTGGGAGGGACGTGACTGCCGAACTGCACCTGTCATCCAGGGCCATGAGAAACACTTGACTCTGAGCAAGAGAGCTGCTCACTGACTTGGGTCTGTGTTCCTTGTGACGATTCACTCTCAAACGTTACTCTGGAGAAAAAGCCGCTCCGGCCACTGTGGGAACAGCGGGACACGGCAGGAGAGGGTGTCCTGGACTGGGTGGCGGCGGCGGAGGGGGCGGGCCAGCGCCTCCAGGACTTGGGCGGAGCGGCTCCAGCAGAGTGGGCTTGCTGAGGCACCAGTCCCATCTCGGGGTCACCTCCCTCTGCTGCTGCCCCGGCGCCTGGGCTCAGGGAGGTCCGGTGGTGCGTCCACAGTGCAAGCGCAGAGCCCAGGTCCGGCCGAGCCTGTTGTGCTCCGAAGCTCAGCGTCCTCCCTGACAGTCCCTGGAAGCCTCCTGATGAGCGTGGGGCTGAGACCTGCAGAAGGAGCAGGGACGGAGCTCCTGCCCCGAGCCTGCGTCCCCGCCTCCCCCGAGCACTTGAAGCCACAGCTGAAACGTCACTGATCTCGCCGTCCTCTGACCCGTGAGCACCGAGGCCATGTGCTGCACGCCCCTTGGAAACGGCCCCTGTGGGCACAGATCCTGGGGGGCCGGGCAGGAGCTGCCCTTGTGCTGAGCCCCCCAGGAACCTGCCGGGAGAGCGAGGGGGTGCCCCTTCCCTGCCTCGGCCTGCTGGCTGTACCCGCTCCGTCAGGCCCTTGTGGGGACGTGGGAGCTAACACTGGAGTGCTTAGCGCCGTGCCTGGTACCAGCGGCCGCCGTCGTACGCACAATCGTGCGTGCTGTCCTCTCCATCTCGGGAGTCACCACGAACACGCCCCTTGTTCCACCGAGCGCCTTTGGCATGGGAGGAGGGCACCTGGCCTTGTATCAGGAGACCCCAGAGCGAGTGTCCCCTGGGGCCTGGGGGCCGCCGCCCACCCGCCTGTCAGGGGCCAAGAGCATCAGCTCCTGTGGGTGCTGAGGGCCCCTGCCTCACTCTCCGCTCGGCTCCACAGGGCCGCACACACCGCTCCCACCTTCCCGAGAGGAGACCGGGCCAGGTGGCACCGACCGGTCCGCCTCGGTCCACGCCAGCGGTCGGAGCAAGAGTAGAACCCGGGCTGGGCTGACATCCTGCCCGCTTCCTCCATCATCATCACCATCATCATCATCATCATCATCATCATCATCATCCAGGAAGCTTCTGCTCACAAGTGCTTTCTTTCTTGTTGGTCGCCACATTTTGTCCTGCCTTTCCTGATGATAACCCACCTGGCAGGTCAAGGTCACTTTGCCTTCGTAAAGTGCCCGTAGGAAGCAGGACACACTTAAAGGTCTGTTTCAGATGGTTTCAGAGCACCCCAGCCAACAGTTGCTACAGAAAACACTAGAAAAAGAGCTCATGCTTCTCATAACTTCAACCCAACCAGAACTTTTTTCCCTAAAACCATCACCCATTATAAACCAAATAGTAAACAAGCGGTCTGGCAGCTTCTGGCCACGCCGGGCACTCCGCTCCAGCCCCTCCCTCGTGGACTCCGTGCACGCGGGGCCCCCTGCTGCGCATTGTGCCTCTGCAGCAGGACACATGCCAGGCCCCGTCATCTGTTTTTCCTGTGAGAGCCCTGGTTTTTGCAAGATCCAACAAAGTGAAAACATCTTCTGAAGGAAAAAAATGGAACCAGAATTCATTTGGTGAAAGTGACACTGAGTGCTGACGTCACTGTCCACGCAGAGGAGGGAGCCTGTGGTACGTGGCCAGCCCCTCGGCTCCAGGGCCTGTGGTCTTCCCATCCCACGTGACGGCCCTGGCCACAGCCGGTGGGATCCGCAGTAAAGATTCCGTGAAGTCTTTACGAGCCTCGCTCTCTGTAGGACCAGAGACACGAGACCTCGCAGCACCGAGCGTAGCCTGTCGGGAAGGTCCAAGAATTTTCCTTCAGGGACAAGTCATTTATTCGGGGGGAGGCCGGCATGGCTCGGGTCCTCGGATGTCTCTCTGCTTCCTCTGATTCACACGCAGGCGTGCGTGCCGAGGACGGGCCTCACAAATGTTCCTGTGCATTTGAGGATCTGCACTGTCACTTTGCAATATGAGGCCCATTTGTTTTTCTCAAGTTGGCTGATTTGCAAAAATATTCAATGATTGTGGCTCAGCGTACGTGGTTCCAACAGCCACATGTGTGTAAAGCAGTGGGCTCACATCGCATCCTATTCTGTGGGGCCCCGTGGTGCAGTCACGGGACCTCAGGCTCTGGAGTCGGCGTGACCTAGGGCCGGATACTTCACCTCTCCGAGCCTCAGTTTCCCCTGTAGTACACGGGGGGATGTGGTCATCCCCATGCTGAGCCTAGTAGGTCCTGGGCTGTGTTTCACTCACGCTGGGGGCTGGCTGCCAGGTGCTGGGGGCTGCCACTCTGAGCAGCCCTGTGGGTGCAACACGGCTTAGCTGTTTCCCCAGCAGCCGGCTCCGTGGCGGTCTCGCCCCTTTAGAGGAGGTCGTGTGGGGACAGCCAGCCACAGAAGAGCACTAGGGTGTGGGAACGCCGACAGCAGGCGACACCCAGACCTGGGCCGTGCCAGCGGGGGAGCTGGGGCCAGTCATCCACGCCTTGCTTTCTGGGCACACACCGAGGTGAGAGCCCTGCTTCAGAAGGGGGATCAGCCAGGAGACGGGGACCCAGGCAGAGCAGCCTGGGAGAGGAGAGTGGCAGCGTGGGAGGCCAGAGAGGTGGTCGGCAGGTGGCTGGCCGGCCTTGAGGGGCTCACTGGGTGGACGCTGGGTGAGAATGAAGCCCCCGGTGGTCAGGGAGAAGGGGTGGGGTGCCGCTGAGTTCAGGTGTCACTCGTGGAGCCGAGTGCCTGGCAGACGTGCCCAGGCGCCCCAGGACTAGGAAGCGGGGCAGGAGAGGCAGGTCTAGGGACCGCTGGATGCTGTGGCCGTGCCCCTGGGGAGTGCGGGCGGGGCCGGAAACAACAGATGGTTTCTCTCTGGCAGGTCTGGACAGAAGGTGTGGGCTGGGCTGTGCTCCCTCCAGAGGCCGGGGTGGGACGTTGGGTCAGGGCCCCGGGCATCCTGGGCTCGGGCATGTCGCTCCATCACCCCTGTACCCCCGATGGCCTCACCCCTATGTGTATTTCTCCTCTGATCCCAGTAGGACACTTGTTGGATTTCGGGCCCACCCACTCCCGGGCCATCTCCTCTCTGATTACGTCTGCCTTTTCCCGAGAAAGCCGTTCACAGGTTTGGGGCAGGCTGTGAGCATGTCTTTTGGGGCTCCCATTAGAGCTAGCACGCATGGCAGGACCCTGGACTGAGGACAGCTGTGAGGAGACCTCAGAGAAAGTGCAGCCCATGAGGCGGTTTGTCTGCTTTCACGGACGTCTCGGTTGTGCTGATCCGGGCCAGGGTCCGCAACAGGACCCCAGAGAGTGCCGCCCGTCTTCTTCCCGGGAGTGGGCTGTGTGACGCAGGAGCAATCCCAAGGACCCTTCGCCCAGGCTTTGGGCCCAGACCCAGTGTGGCCGGGTCCCCACAGTCCCTCCTGGGAACTCTGAGCCTAGAGCAGCTCCTGAGCCGAAGGGCTCCCCCGTGCCCTGTGGCCTCACCCTGGTGCCCAACTCTGTGCCCGACTCTGTGCCGGGGGCGGGGGCGTGAAAGTGTGGACTCGGGGCCATGTGTCCAGGTCAGACAACTCCTGCCCACGCCCTCTGTGCCCCAGGTCCTCCTCGGGAGGGTGGTAACAGCTCTGTGTGGCAGGGTGTTCTGGGGAGTTTGGAACCTGCCTGGTCCGTAGGATATGCCGTGTCAGCGTCAGCCCTGGCTGAGATGTGACGAGGGGAGGGGCCCACAGACGTGGCCAGCGCTGGGGGCAGGGACAGGACAGGGGTTGGGGGCGCCCTGCAGTCTCTCTGGTGGGTCTTCCTTCTACTCCTTCCAGTGCTGGCCCGTATGTCTGCACTCTGTCTCCTCCCTCAGAGCGCCTTGGGAGGGGCTCCTTGGGAGAGCTGGTGAGAACGCCCAGCTCAGCTGCCCTCCAGCCCCAGGGAGGCCAAGGGCTGGACTGGCCAGGGAACGGGCACCCCTTCCTCCTGCCGCCTGCCTGTCCTCTGCTGCAAAGGTGCCCTGATGTCCCCGTGAATCCGTGGTGACACTGAGGGGATGTACCGTGTCCCGGCAGATGAAGCACGTGAGCCCCAGCCAGAATTTGCAGCCCTCCCAAACAAGGCGCTCACCACAAAGGTGGCTCTGCGGCCCCGTGGCCTGTGGTTGCTGGAACAGTGCGGAACGCGGGGTGCCCTTGCTGTGCCTCGGTGTCCATGTCTCACACACTCGTCCCGAAGATGGCTTGGTGCCCACGAGCTGCCCATCCGCCCGTCCCGGGGGAGGGCTCTGCAGATGGTAGATGCTCTATGGTTACTTTTGGTTTTTCTGTTTCTTGTTTTGAAGTTCCCCTGGCGGCTTACGAGTGGTTGGTTTGTTACCTGCTCCGCGAGAGTTATCAGAAATTAAATCAAGAGAAAAGATCAGGAAGCAATGACTTTGAAGCAAGAAACAACAGTCAGGTATATGTCTGTTTTAAAAAATCGCTTGTTTGATTCACTCCCAATTCCTGCACTGCCGTGGCCTCGGTAAGCTGCCTGTCATGGTGGTGGTGGCGGCCGGGCCCTCCGGCCCCTGTGACCGCGGGAGCATGGCTTCTCTGCACCTTGGTCTGCTGCAGGGAACTTGCTGGACTGTGGGTGCTGTGTTCAAGGTGCCTGGCGGCGTCTGGCTGCGGCTGGAGCTGTTACTGTGGGAGCGGGGATGCTGGGTTGTGGCTCCAGGCCTGGTCCCTCTCAGCCGACTGGTGGCGGCTTGGTGACTCACGCAAGGTCACACTTGCTTTCTCTCGGGGCATTACTGCCCTTCTCGGGGAGCCTTGGTGGGAATGGTCCCAGGGTGGCTTTGGTTCTCATGCTTGGACGGGGCTGGCTCCCATGTTCCGGAACCTACCGCACAAAGGCAGCCCGCTCTAAAACACCTCCTAGCATCAGGATCTGGCCTGTTGTGACCCATACATCCAGTCCATCTGGGGTGACGGCTGTCATTTGGGAGGCCATGGATAAAGGAAACATAAGAAGTTTCTAGAACTGGTGTCGTTCCTTCTCCTTGGCCTTGTATTTTGTGAGGTTCGTTTCATGTCCTCTGAGAACTCAGCATCTACATCTGCCCATCTCCTCTGAATGAACCCCAACCCCTCCCGTTACACTGTGATGGGCAGCTTCAGTGCTTGGGTGGACGCGGTCAGGAGCAAAGCCAGCGGTGTTTCCAGGGACCTGCTGGACACATCTGCCCCAGGTGTGCAAGTGAGGGAACAGGATGGGGTCTTGCCTGGAAAGACCTGGATGGATAACTGGAACCCAGGGCTTATAGGAATTCAGCAGGTGGCCCCCATCAGTAAACTTGATCTCAGTGCCATGGCGACCAAAGTAGGCATGGCATGGCATGGCAAGGATCCTTCTGGAACTGCTGGGGCCACAGCAGGCTTAGTCTTTTGGACACTGACGGGGGTGGATTAGCCTGTCCCATGTCACCCCTTTCCCTGCCCATCAGGCTGTCACTCGGAAGTAGAAGTGGAGGGCCTCCCTAGAGTCACAAGCCAAGGCCCCAAAGAGATGGAGAGCATAAGAGGCACCCATTCCCACTGTGTCCGAATCCCGAAGAGCTGCCTGGAGGTGGCTGTGGGTCTCGTGTCATCCCTCTGCACGCCTGCCTGCTGGCCCGTGCCCAGCACCCTGACACCAGACCTCAGGCAGGGGCTCAGCCGTTTTAGAAATAATTCACCTTGGGCGCCTGGGTGGCTCAGTTGGTTAAGCGACTGCCTTCAGCTCAGGTCATGATCCTGGAGTCCCGGGATCGAGTCCCACATCGGGCTCCCTGCTCAGCGGGGAGTCTGCCTCTCCCTCTGACCCTCCCCCTTCTCATGCTCTCTCTCTCATTCTCTCTCTCAAATAAATAAATAAAATCTTAAAAAAAAAAAAAGAAATAATTCACCTTTACACCTTCGTTAAAGCACTCCTTGGCAGCATTTCAGTGAGTCACACGGCAGAAAAGGTCGGGAGAGGCCAGCCTAGCCTGGCTCTGATCCCGGAGCCTGTGAAGAGCAAGCCCTGGGTCAGCTCTCACGGCCTGGGCTGGACGCTCACGGACGCCCCAGGAGGACACAGCCCCTTACCATACGGTGACCTGAGCAGCAACCAGGCACGAGAGAAAAATTTCAGAGAGTACGCGTGTGTAGCCTTGACATGGGACATGCCTTCTTGAGACCGGAAACTAGAAGCTGTAAAAAAGAGAAAGTGGTCAGATGTGATTGTGTCAACGCTCACCATTTCTATAAACAAAGTCAGGAGACAGGCTGCAGGCTGCACATGCGGCGGGACCAGCAGGGCGTCCCGCCGGGGAAGGGCTCCCCCCTGGCCGGGGAACCAGCGCCAGCACAGCGGTTGCAGAGCACGACCCGGGGCCGTGCAGGGGAAGGATGGTGTCCGGCAGGTCGCAGGGGCGGGAGCTGCTCTGCCCTGTGGGGCAGTTAGTGGCTGCTTTTCCGTGAAAATACAGAGCGTGCTGACTCTGACTTGCGGGGGAAGCGCATTTATCTCGCATCCCCTCCTGCCCCCCCCCAAACAGCTGCCCCTTGCTGTGCACCTACTGCATGCTGGCCGCGCACAGTAGGTTCTTTAAAAAAAAAAAAAAAGATGCGTTTATTGTCTTTTTTGGCCGAGTAGTACCCTCCCATGTTCAAAGTGAGCACATGTAAAACGGTGGGCGGTGGGGCGCTGTACGCCCAGAGCTGCTGGCCTCCGAAGGCAGATGAGCCATGTTCTCCCCGCCCCACCGCACCCGGGGCTCCTGACACGGGTCATTTCCTGCCATCTTTTCTGATGCATCGGGCAGTTGGGGCCAAGGGAGATACCCTGGGTGGCCCGGCTCAGCTGTGCTGGGGCTGGCCCGGAACCCAGCGCCATCCCCAGGGCCTGGCTCTTTGCCCTGAACTGAGGTCTGAACGTGGACAATGAGGAGTTTGTTTTTTGCCTGAAGTGTCCATGATTCGCTCCTGTGCAAATATCCTCAGGAATTAGAGCACAGCAGAAATGAACAGCTAGACCTGATGGTTTAGGGCTTCGTGGGTGTGGGGGCTCGTGGGAGAGGGGGAGGGGCTGGGGGAAGGGGCTGGCCCTCCAGACTCTTCATGAGTGCCGGCCCTGCCCTTGAGTGCTCGCACTCTGCAAGCACTTGTCCTGGGTTCGCTGCTTCGGAGCGACAGCTGACCCCCAGCCATGTTAGACTCCCCGCAGGGAGAGTTAAATGACACAGCCCGGGGGGTGGTCAGCGGACTGTGCAGGAGCCCACGAGCAGAGCTGTGGCCTCACTGCCTGTCCCTGCCTAGTGGAGCTTGGGGGAGCAGAGGCTCCATCTGGACCCATCCATGGACAATTCTTGAGGGGCCTGTCCTGTACGCTGTAGGATGCTCAGCAGCACCCCACCTCTGCCCACAAAGATGTCAGCAGCACCCCTGAGTTTTGACAACCAAAGATGCCAGCCAGGGTCAGGTGTAGACCCGGCTCCTGAGCCTGTGGTGGGAAGGCACCGCATGCTCGTCAGTACAGGTTGGGCCACGTGAGTGCTGTTCTTCTCATTAGAACAAATCTGTTAAAATGACAGTGGAGACGGGAAAAGAAAATCTAATGAAGCTGATGATGCTCAGCGGGCTCTGGGGGTGCTGGTTAAGAAGGACACATAGGGCCAGAAGACCTGCCAAGGCCTCCTGCTCCTGCAAACACAGTGGGCATCAGAACTCCTTTTGCACATGCAGGCCGGCTGAGAGCGGCCGCTGGCCTTCCCTAGGTCATGGAGTGCACGGACGCCGGCCTTGGCCTTGGCTTTCTCTTGCCACTGGCCTTCCCGTGGTGTTTGCACACAGGTGATTCTCATGCTGTGCCCCCTCCGTGCACAACTTCATTTGGTGTCATTGTCCCGCCCGGGGACGTGCTCTCGAGCTCCCACCCTGGGCTGTGTGCCCAGTGGTTTCTTCCACCGCCCCCCGCAGGCTGTAACCAGGGCCCCAGCTGCCGGCTCATGGGGGTTGGTGGCCCTGTGTTGTGTTTTGTTTTAAGGTGTACTACTGCCATCCCTTGGCCCTGGCGTTCCTGGAGCTGACGGTGGTGCGGAGGTTCCACGAGTACACGCACCAGCCCTGCGTGCCGCCCCCACTGCGGGCCGTGCTGGGACGGCTCAGTGCCCTCTATGCCCTGTGGTCCCTGAGCCAGCACACGGCCCTGCTCTACCAAGGTGAGGCCCCTGTGGTGGGCACCTGCCCCCCCCATCCTGTTCCGCCCGGTCCTGCCCGGGGATTACAGCCGTGTCCTATCCAGGAGACTTGGCCTTTCTCGTGAGGTATTACCTCCATGTGCATTCACTGAGCGTTCCTCACAGGCTGGGGGAGCCTGTGGGCAGATGAGGAGCCTAGAATCCACAGTAAGAAAAGTGGCATCAGGACAGGACGTTTCCCTTTCGTCCAGGGTCCCTCTGATGTCTGTTTCCAGTTCAGAGAATATTTCCAGGAGGCGCACGTTAGCTAGGCAGGGAGCTGGTCTATAGTGAGCTGAAGCCCATGCCTCCCGGCCCATGGGGCCCAGATAGACACGAGCCCAGGCTGCTGGGAAGCACTCTTAGGAATGCCCAGCCTGAGGACCCAGGAGGGCTTCTTGGAGGAGGTGGTGTGGGGCTGATTCCAGAAGATTGGTGAAAATGGGATAAGCCTGAATTTCTCAATCTGTTTTCATTATTGTCCTTCTAAGGAGCATTTTTAGACCATTTTCTCTAATCTCCCCCAAGACATGTTAATGCTATGACATCCTGTATATCTGTTCTCATCCTGTGTGTGTATCTTGGCTTTCTGAAGAGTAAGACTGTCCTGCTCCCCTCGCCAAGAACCAGGTTTTCTCCCTCAGGCCTGGTGTTGCCCCACAGAGGTGGTGAGAGCACGTGGCTAGGTTTATAAGGGGAGAGCAGGCTTCAGACCCAGGGAGTGGCAGGGTGCAGGGCAGGGGACCGTGTGCTAAGACATGACAATTCCAAGGGATGGACAGTTTCTTTCACAAAAATCAAACAAAAGATTCTGCAGCAAATGTGCAGCAAATGTGCCTGATGCACAGGCCACGGCCTTGGGCCTGCAAGATGCCATGGCAAGCCCACCATGATGGTGGTGGTGGTGCAGGTGTTGGTTTTGATGATGATAGTGGTGGTGATGGTGGTGATGGTGATGATGGTGGTGGTGATGATGGTGGTGATGATGGTGGTGATGGTGGTGGTGGTGGTGGTGGTGAGGGTGATGGTGATGATGGTGGTTGATGGTGATGATGATGGTGGTGGTGATGGTGGTGGTGATCGTGATGGTGATGGTGATGATGGTGGTGATGGTGATGATGATGGTGATGGTGGTGGTGATCGTGATGGTGATGGTGATGATGGTGGTGATGGTGATGATGATGGTGATGGTGGTGATGGTGGTGATGGTGTTGGTGGTGATGGTGGTGATGGTGATGATGGTGATGATGATGGTGATGGTGGTGATGGCGATGATGATGGTGATGGTGGTGGTGGTGGTGGTGGTGATGGTGGTGAATGGTGATGGTGGTGATGGTGGTGATGGTGATGATGACGATGGTGGTGATGGTGGTGATTGTGATGATGATGATGATCATGGTGATGGTGATGATGGTAATGGTGGTGGAGGTGGGGTGATCATGGTTGGTGGTGGTCAAGGAGGTCTCCTGGCCTGGCTGTGACCTCCTGGCTCATGCACAGTGATGGGAAAGGGACACGGGAACCCTGGTCCCGGCCAGCATGTTCCTGCAGCTAGGAGACCTCACATAAAGCACCTGGGGGGCTAATGTGGACGTTGGGTACCAGGCCCCAGCGTAACCAGTGCTGTGCTTACAGGTGGCTACTTTTCTGGTGAGCAAGCAGGTAAAATGATCCAGAACGCCATCCTGGACCTGTGCTCACAGGTGAGCTGCGATCATTCTCGTGTCATCATGATTCCCCGCGTTATGTGTAACCACTGCATAGTGACACACACCTTTGCTTTGCACACATTCGTGTGTGTGCAATGCTGAGTAAAAACAGGAAGATTACAAGAAAATATGCCTATGTCAGGAATCTTGGGCAAAGAGTAACTTTTAGGGAATGTCTTAGAGTCTGTACTCTGTAATGCACTTTTTACAGCCACCCTGGTAATTCTCTTAAGCTTTCCAAGGGACTCAGCCTCCAGCTTAAATTCATTTCATGGTATTTTTCTTGTGTTTGGCATTCTTTACCTTTATCACCCAGAAAGGTCACGTGGGCCAAACCCCCACCCTATGCTCTAGAGGCGCGCTATCCAGTGGGCCTCTCTACGGGGGTGGACATGTCCGGAGCTATGCCGTCCCATGTCACTATAGCCCCATGGCTGTTGGCCATGGAAAGGTGCCCGTGTGACTGAGGTGTTTGTCTTTGATTGTCACCAGCTTACACTTGAAGGGCCACATGTGCTGGTGCCGCTGAACTAGGCAACTGTCCTTAGCGGTGTCGTCTCTCCTCTTGATGGCAGGAAATCATTTTATAAGGTGTCTCAAATGACTGGCGACATGCTGCTCCGTTTCTCCCTCTCAGAGCTCAGAGTTGATGTGGTTCCAGGCAGCACTTCTGATTGGTTTTAAACCTCTCCCCAGACTCAGCTCGCCAGTGGCCATCCCTCAGTCTCTGGAGGTTCTGGATCAGCGTGCATCTGTGACCATACCGCTCCTGTGTGTGGCCACGTGTACTCTCCGTCCAGTAAAACCAGTGACTAGAGGGTTTCCTGGGTGTGTCCCCCTTGCTCTCAAACAACTGTGTCCCCTGGGACCCGCACCTGGCAGCTGTGGCCCAGGTGGGCAGGTGGTCACATGCATAGTCATGCAGCCGATACCTCATCTCCATCCACCACCAGGAAGGCCCAGGTGCTTGTTGTCACTCCGGGGGGCCTGGGTCAGACAGGTGGAGGGGGCGCCAGCGCCATCCAGCAGTTCACTCATGCATCATCTGTGGGTGCGTTGGTGTGTCCTCGCCAGAGGTGGCCGCTGAGCCAGACCATTTCCTGCTGTTATACGGCAGGTGTGCTGACCCCTAGCTAGACAGGGGGCCTTGCTGTGCTGATGGTTCCAACTGAAGTGGGCAGACTCGTCCATCTGTGAGCCGAGGGGCAGAGGGTGTGTGGCCGTGGAGTGAGGGAGCAGGTACACTAATGAGCAGCACCTGAACCACGAAGATGTGCTCCTCTCCTCTCTTGTGTGGACTGGGTTATTCCGAGCCGGCCAGTTGCTTTCCGTCTGAGTTGCCGAAACCATCCCACTCCAGGGCTCTGGTTGGTGCAGCCAATGAACTTCACAATTATTTAAAAAAAAAAATGTTTTTGCATTTCAAGAAAGTTCTTGGAAGTCTTCTCCCATAAATCCCACGTGTCCTATTGAAGAACCACTTGCACGAGGGGACAGAGGCATCATAAAACCTCCGCACACCAGACAGCCTTGGTAGGACAGCTTTCCCAGGTGCCCATAAACACCTTCCCTGGCACATTTTTTCCGGACATGTTTTCCACTGCTGGAACGGCAGCTGCCCGGATCGGGCAGGACTCAGACACAAACCTGAGGACATTTGCCGGTGAGTGGCTGCTGAGCCGCTTTTACGAGCAGCCCCTACCTTATTGAAAAACAGTTAATGCGCTGGAAGTCTTGAGTGATTAGCAACATGGAGAAAATATGCAGACACACACCAAGGGAATCTGTGATGTAGGCCAACGAAAAGATAATGCATTAGTAACCAAGCCACGCACGCGCCTGCTGGGGTTACCGTTGCTAGCGGGTTGTAGCAACAAACGGCCAGTGCTCTGTTTCTCAGCGGTCGCCATGGAGATTTCTGGGGGTTGCCAAGCGAATGGACTTTGTTTTCCAACAGCTGAAAGACGATGCCGTTGCCCTGGTGGACGTGATCGCCCCTCCCGACTTTGTCCTGGACTCCCCGATTGGCAGAGCCGACGGCGAGGTGAGGCCCCCCCGTGGCCGGGTGGGAAATGCCGCACGTCCGAGCACCAGTGGGGGCTGCTCTGGGGGTGCTGATGGTTGTTGCCGAGCCTGGGCTGATAGCATGGGCCAGGAGCACCCTGGCGCCTTCCGAAACGTGGTCACACTTGGGCAGCAGTGGAGGGAGGGGCCAGGAGAGGTCAGGGTGGTCTGGGGCGAGTTAGCCTCACCCCAGCCTGCCTTCCTGGGGGATGCGGGCTGGCGACACTGCCCTCCTAGGGCCGGGGTGCTGGGATCAGCACAAGCCCCTGCCAAGTGCCGGGCCCTGCGGCGGTCCTCCTGTTCTCACACCCCCGGGGGCCGTTGCCAGTGCTGGGTCTTCCTAACGTCTCACAGTGCAGGACCTTGACCCTTTCCATCAACCGACCACTCACCCCTGGTACTTTCGCTTCCCAGCAGCCCCCGCTTGGCTCCCTGATCTCCCTTGCTGTGCTGTGCTCCAGAATGATTTCTTCAAGTGATCTTGTCAGGTCACTCCTCTGCTGAGTGCTCCACCACCATCCCTCATCCCCAAACCTGCATGTACATCCCTTCCCTCACCCCCAGCCCAGCAGCCTGACCTCTGTCTGCCTGGTTCTGCAGGGTCATTTTATGCTGTGCCCCTCCTGCCCGCCGGACTCCAGCCTGACTGTCCCCCTCTGTTCTTCTATTACGCTAGGCTTTCCCACCACAGGGCCTTTGTACCTGCTGTCCCTGCTGCCTGGAGCACTTCCACACATTGCACCTAAGCAGAACGCTGCCTCTCAGCTCTTCTCTGGCCTCCAGCCCAAGTGCCACCCTCAGGCAGGTGCCCCCACTTTGTCCTGCCGTGGGACCCTAGCTTTGTTCATTCCTGAGCCCACCCCTACCCCTGCGTGCTGCGGGACGCTCACAGGTCTGCTCAGCGCCTTCCAGGAGTGCACACCTGCAGCTTGGTGTTACCGCTTGCCTGAGGTCTCAGAGACTGGGACCCCACCTGACCCCAACCCCCAAGGCCGTGTTCTTTGTGCTGAAACACCTGCTTTCAACTCAGGCTGTTTCAGTGGAGACTGAACGTAAGGGGGCAGGAGCCCTCTATGTGTGCTCAGGGGAACAGACTTCTCCAGGGAAGCGAGCAGGTGCCCTGGCCGTGGCCCGGCCCAGCCACACCTGGGGTTGGGATGGTATACTGGGCCCTGGGGTGGGCAGGACAGAAGAAGTCCCCAGGCCGGCATGGGGACAGTAACATCTTTAGAGGCCCGCTGTCCTCTAGCCCCCTCCCACACGGTGTCTGTTACACACCTGCTTTGCCAGGGAGAAACCCAACATCCAGAGAAGCCAGGTGGCCTGCCCACAGCTGCCCAGCCAAGAAACAGCAGAGCCAGGGTGTGGGTAGAGATTTACCACCTGGAGAGAAGACAGGAGACCGGACCTCGGTCCCCAGTGTGGCCCGGGCCCCAGTGGGCACACGCAGGAGGACGTGCCAATAAGGCCATGGGGGGAGGCTGACCTGCCCATGGGGACACTTACCAGGCATCAGGCTGACATGCACTTGAGGAGGGCCTGGACATGGCATCATGCGAGGCCCTGAGTCCCCGGGAGTGTTAGCGGGTGCAGAAGGAGCCAGGGCAGCCGGCTCACTGGAGCCCTGTGCATGTGTGCATGCCCTGCAGAGACAGCCCGGCCCCTGGGCCGAAGAGTGGCCGGTGCGCAGGAGCCTGTCCCTGAGCTGCAGGCTCTTTCTGGCTCCGGATTCCACCGTGGAATCCCGAGGCCTCACCTGACAAGCAGGTGTATACAGCACACATTTTAACCAGGGGCTGCTAGGTGAGAAGTGCATTTTAAGTGAACAGCCCCGGCTGCCAGAGGTTATTTAAGACGATCATTCCATGAAGCATTATGCTCCAAATTGCCATATGTGACCCGTGTGGAGAGAGCGAGGCTGAGTGTCCCTGGGGGAGCAAGCAGAGCAGTTGGAGGGGCCCAGGAGTGCACTCAGCAGGTGCAGGGACGCTGGCTTCTTCAAAGTAAGGAGCAGCTGACTGGCTCCGTGGTTGAGCATGCGACTCTTGATCTCAGGTTGTGCGTTCAAGCCCCATGTTGGGTGTGGAGCCTACTTAAAAAAAAAAAAAAAGAGTAAAGTTTGTCAAGGCCAGCCCGGTACCTAGGAGGCCCCTTCCCTGGCTCTGTGGACTGGAGACCTGTCAGCCTGGGTGCCGTGTTTGGGGTGGATGAAGAACCAGTCAGCAGCTCCTGCAATGTGCATGGCCTTCCTCCAGGACAGACGCTGCTCTGCTTTTCCCACGGGGCAGCCTGGCGGAAAGGGTTTGGTGTGAACGTGCTAGAGGAGGCGGCCCACTGGCCCAGACGTGCAGGCAGATGGGGCAGACAGACGGGGCCCGCGCGCAGGCACCCCCCCCAGCTGTGCAGGGGAGGGGGCACGTGTCAGAGCAGACAGCTAGCGCTCACCTGCAGAACCCCTGCAGGCCTCCCCCTACGAGAGTTCCCAGAGAAAAGGACACGTACAAAGCTGTTGTCAGAAATGTGTTTTAAAGTATTACGTGTTTCCAGTGAGAAAAAAAGATTGATGTAAATAAAGTCATCTTAGAATTTTCTAAAAAGTGACCAGAGGATTTTCTGTGTTTTCAACAAAAGTGTATGAGGGGATCTGCGTCTGTCCCCTCGGCTGTCTGAGGAACCTTGTTTATTATTCATGTATGTGCTTATTTTTTGTAGCTCTATAAAAACCTCTGGACTGCTGTCCTTCTGGAAAGCAGAGTGCTGGAGAGGCCATCGTGGTGGTCGGAGTTTTCCGTCCATAAACCCCGTATAGGAAGTTTGAAATCAAAGCTGTAGTCACATGGCACGTTCAGCTGAATCTAGGTAAGCTGGTCCAGCTCATGGAGATGGGGACCTCAGATCCTAGTTCCAGACGACATGGAAATGCTGCCCCTTTCCGAACGCACCTGTGCTCATATACCCACACCGGCCTCTCCCCCGGCCGCCCGGGGAGGGCTCCCCCAACAAGGCGCAGGGCAGATGCCTCCGCCAGATTTGCTGTGTGCAAAGAAGATCCGTATGATCGCCTCTTCCTGATGGACTCTTTTTTTGATAATTAGGACTTTGCACGTGCTGTGTTCACATGCCAGAGAGGAGGCCACGTGCTTTCTGGTCTGATGATCTGCATTCTGAGATTTCTTCCAAAGCTCTGCTTCACTGAGTGCTCAATGATGCCAATCTGATTCTTTGTTAACTGCTTTGACTTTATCATGTAATTAAATCCTATTTTAAGCTTACCTGAATGATGTAATTTGAGATTTCTAAGGAGAAGAAAATCCATTCTGTGTGGAAATCAAAGTTTCCATCAAGGAAATGTTTCCAAAGAAAATAAATGCGTCACATGGGTCTGGTCAGTTTAGGGTGCTGAGCTGCCGGCCTCACGCACATTCCTTCATTCCGGTTTGCAGTACGGATCCGGCTGTTCTGCCATCGGCAGGATGCCCGTGCTGCTCGGCGGCTCCCCGCCCAGCCCCGTGGGCGAGTGCGCCTGCCTTCCGGCGGAGACCAGGTCAGAGGGGGTGGACCCCCAGGCGGTCACTCGTGGGTCCCTGCTCAGCACGACCGGCTCGCGGGTTCCTCTCTGTCATCAGCAGCCGCTCTGTCATCTTGGAGTGGAGCAGGCAGACATGACCCAGGCACCCAAGGACCACAGGCAGTGCCAGGGGACCAGGGATGGCTTCTTTCTTCCAAATAGCTCCGAGCCTCCAAGCACGGGAAGGGCAGGGCAGGACCTGTTTTTAAAAGACTGAATTTCCAGGGTGCCTGGGTGGCTCAGTTGGTTAAGCAACTGCCTTCGGCTCGGGTCATGATCCTGGAGTCCCGGGATCGAGTCCCACATCGGGCTCCCTGCTCGGCAGGGAGTCTGCTTCTCCCTCTGACCCTCTTCCCTCTCGTGCTCTCTATCTCTCAAATAAATAAATAAAATCTTTAAAAAAAAATAAATAAAAGACTGAATTTCCAGCTTTGGGAACTGCCAGAGTGGTTCCTTGACTTCTCAAGCCTCAGTTATCATGCCTAGAAAAGGGGAACCCAACCCCACCCCAGGCCCCGAAGGGCGGCCAGGAGCAAGTGACTGGGTAAGAGGAGCTGCTTTTATTGAACACTGTATGCAGGGACTTTGTTGTCACCATTCCCGGACCCTCAGACAGCCACATTGAGGGCAGTCGTACTAACATGCCCATTTTACATGTGAGAAAACTGACCCTGAAAGCCTCAGTCACCGCCATGGCCCAAACACGGCCAGGAAGTGGTCCGGCCCAGAGCACACGCGCGACCATCCCGATGTCCTCGGCCCAGCACAGGGCCAGCACAGAGTGGGCCCTTGCTAGTATCAGGGTCATAGTTTTAACTGGGGGAACTCCCACCTGAGCGTAATACCCCTCTGGGTGGGCGGTTTCTACCAAGAGCTGCAAGAAGCTGTCCCGGGTCCAGCGTGCTGCGCTGAGGGCCACAGCTCATTCAGCTGTTAGCGACCCGTGGACAGGTTCTTGGAGGACTTGTTTGCATCGTCGTGCCTGTCTTCTGGGAGTGATGGACAGCAGCTGGCTTGCCCTACAGCCTGCAGACGCCAGCTGTGAAGCCAGCACATGGCCATTGGGCACTATTTTAGGAATGTAGAAAGCGTCAAAGAGGAAAATGCCACAGCTCCACTCTCAGCGATAACCACTGCTTACATGTCATTTCCTTTGGGGCCAGAGGGCACAGAATTGGGTTCATTGTCATTCTGGGTTCGTGCCAGGTTTACCCCATGCCACTCCGAGGCCAGAATGTTGACTGTCCTGTCCCCACTGTTTGAGGCCCGGTGGACAGTTCATCCCACCTTCTGGTGGCATGCTGGAGCGCCCCATTCCTGAGGCCCTCTGTGAGTTTGTGCACGTGTGTGTGTGTGTGTGTGTGTGTGATTTTCCTAACAGGGCGTGGGGCCATCCTCTAAACTCCTTCTGCTGAAGGGTGTTTCTCAGGCACTTCCCCTGTCGAGCAGCACGAATGTACAAGCTTAACAAGCCTCCTGAGGGACGTGGAGCGTTAGTTTCTGCTCGGAGTGGCTCTGTGCACGGGTCAGCTCCTGGAAGCTGGCCTGCTGGGACCAGCACCTTGAGGGCGGGGCTTGTGATACCACCACCAAGTCAGAGGTGGTACAGCCAGCGTGGACAAGCACAGGATGAGAGCCAGGCGGGGCCAGGCGGCGCCCCGGATGAAACGGCACGAACGACCGAATCCGCCTCATTGCACACTTGTCGGCATTGAAATGGGCTAGCGAGGAAAGCACAGCACACAGGCCTGGCCCACAGATGGCTGGTGCTTGAGAGGTCTCCACATTATCACACCGTGCCCAGGAAGGCACCTGCCTTTCCTGCTCTGTTGCCCTTCCCAGCCGTGTCCTCTCGGTTCCAGTCTGGGCAGTTAAGGAACACTGGCATCTCCTGGGCAGATGCACTCTTCCCTGCTCCCTACTGAGGCTGAACATGTCTCCCCAACTATTTATAGACTATCTCTATGTGCTCTGTGATGATTGCCGCTTCTTGCTTTTTGCCTAATGGAGCCTTTAGTTTTCACAATATTTTGCTGATTTTTAAAAATACTCTTTACATATTAAGAACAATAAACCTGGGACATACGTATTATCTATTACTTTCCATCATTTATCTTTTGCCTTTTGATTGTATTAATTTTTTTCTTTTTGATTTAACATGAAGTTTAAAATAAAATTTGAAATCTTATATAAAACCAAGAATCTTTTCTGCTTCATCCTTTAAGGTCATGCTTGGAATGTTCTCTCCCACACCAAGATTATTTCTACTTTCATCTGTTTCTCTAGAGTGTATCACAGTACTGATTTGACCAGAGTTGATTTTGAGATATGGTGTGAGGTAGGGATTCCAGATGGCTGGCCCTAACTGGAAGTGCCACCTGCAGCAAATGCCAGAATCACAGACATTCCTGGGCCCATTTCTGCCTTTTTCTATTTTATTGTCTTTTCTCACATCAGCTCCTATAGTTTCCATTATTGTGTCTTTCATACTTTTCAGTATCCTTTGGAGCAGGCAACACCTCTCTCATCTCTTGAAAAAAATGTCTTAGATGTGCAAACTTTGGTATTATTTTGTCAAGTTTGGTGCTCTCCCTTCTCGACATTAATGAAAGAATCTTTGGAATTTGGGGGTTTCGTTTAATCTATAGATTACTATCAGGAGAATTTATATCTTTATGGTGAGTAGTCTTCCCATCTAAGACCTTTTATTCATGTTGTTTTTAATAAGAAGCTATCTTGCTTTGATATATTTACTTTGTAACTGGTCACTTTTTTAAAAAACCTTGGTTATAATAGTCTTATATTGATTCTCTTGGGTTTTCCTTATATGTCATTGGCAAATAGTGATGGTTTGGCCATGATCTTTCCAAAACTTTTACCAGTCATTTAACCTTCCTGGCTAGCGTCTGCTGGTCCTGCTGGAACAGTCTCCTCACAGGTGGCGGTGGGCGCCACTGTCCGGTCTCAGACATTCAGGGTTTGCCTTCAGGGGTTTGCATCAGTGTGATGCTGTGTGCGGGACGGGCTGCAAAGACAGACAAAGGCAGAGGACCAAGCCAGGGACCTTCTATCTGGGCCACACACACAGGCGCGTGCTCATGGCTGGAGATCTGACTCCCTGAGGACAAAGACTGGACTGGGAGTCTTCCCCCTTGGGCGCAAACTAGGAGCCAGCCTCCTGAGGCTCTGTGGGGCCGGCTGGGCGGATACAAATGGAAACCACCAGAGCATAAAGAAGACAGTAAAAACCCGCCCAAACCCCATGATCATTCTCGAGAGCCCATTAACATCTTGGGATTGAGGTCTTCCTTGTGGCCACAAAGGTTCTTGGTGGCCGTTGGGCCCTCTGTTATCATGGGGCTGCGTCATTGACATTTGGGGACCTCCCTTTTGATGTGCTTCTGATAGCCTGGCCTCAGCTCTAGTCACCTTTCCCCCAGTCTTTTTATCCCCCACAAAAGATTGAAGGTGGTTTTGCCCTTGGGACCACCCCTTCCACGAAGTCAGTGTTTACTCAGCACCCACCCACACACCGGGCACCACGCAAGGGTGTGCATCTTAGTTACAAGGTTCCTTTCTCTGCGACTTGGCTCATGCAGCTGTTTGGACATTCCCCAGACTCCACGGGGAGAGTGTCCTGCCGGACGGTGGGCCCCGTCCAAAGACAACAGGAGGCGACACGGCTTCAGGCAGTGGCCTCCAGGTGCGTGAGCCACTGGCTGCCTAACCGCTCGTGACTGGCAGGCCGGGCCAATGTACCCGCCACATGGAGCCCCAGTGCCGGACCGGCCCCAGACACCCGCAGAACGGCTCAGCTGCGTGGCTCCTGGCTACCCCCGTCGCAGGTCCACTCTCCACGGGGCACAGGAAGACATCCTCCGCCTCCGGACGGGGGACTCCTGGCCACACGGTGCAGCCCAGCAATCCCACGCGGCCCCTGGTTTGCTTTCATGTTCACTCACAACCATTTGCAGTTCCTGAAACCAATATCCAGGGACTTTTCTTGGGCTGTGGCGTTGATCCTGAGTCCAGGAGGTCAGGAAAGCTCAAGAGGACCCACGTTCCTACCAGCTGCCAGGAAAGCTCCCTCACCCTGTTTCCCTTCCAGCGCGAGGACTGACCTCAGCTGGTTCCTGTCCTGCCAGACTGCCCGGCGGCCCAGGGAGGTGGCTCAAGCTTCGTGATGCCCGGAGGAAGGCAGTGCTGGTCCCGTGAAATGGCGCGTGAGCACGGTTACTCCTACTCCTAGGAGTAGGTTTGCCAG